GGAGGAGAAAATCACATCCCATGAGCCAAGAAGTCTGTACTAATGGGCCCCAGAGGGCTACTTTGGGAATCCTAAGCCAATTGTGTTCTCCTCAAAAGGCCACAATTAACAGCATAAGGTTACAAATAAGCTTCTTTCTTCAGGGAGAATTTTATGTTAAAATTAGGAATCTCAACTAAAGTCATCTTTTAAAAATTATTATCTAGTGATAATAGTGTTAGAATGTTCAAGACATTTTATAAAAAACTGAGTCATTCTTACCTCTAGATAAGCAAAAAGAAGAGACACAGATGATTAGGGAGATGAGAGAGAGAAGAGAGAGAAAGGTGTGTGTAATATAGTAGAAAGTAGCCAGGACTGGAATTCTAAGATTTTGCTTTTAAATCTTCCTTTGTGTCTATCTCTTTCATTAAAACTGAACAAGTCACTTCCTTTCTCTAACTATTATTCATCACATGCTAATGATACATATAAAATTTATGTGCTGTAAGTTTTCTGGGTTTGATTCCTGGCTCTATGATTACAAGGTGCCAAGTCACTTGACCCAAAGCTCAGGTTCCTTTACTTTAAAAATTGGATTGTATGACTTAACACATGCAAGATTTCATGCAGTATTTAAATATAGAAGTCCCCCAGTAGATGGTAGAATGGTGTTAGTGGCAATGGTGGTAAATCCTATGATTCTTTTTAGTGATTTCAAAATTATTTGTATTATCTTGTTTACCTGTTGCCTTGTCTGTTTATCAAATGGCTTTGGTTTTGGAATCTTCAGTATCTTTCTAGCATCTCTAAGGAGGTACATACTTACTAGAAAGATGCTGAGGAGTGTGTCTTCATTTCTCCAAGTATAGCCTCGTTGTAAGTCAAGCATTAGAGATCTGAGAAATATGTTTGTATAAAAGCCACACAAAAATCAAACACAGTAAAGAGAGTTTTGTACTGATAGGTTACAATATGGCCTCTCGTTCAGTCATGAAGTTAACAAGCAGTGTGTCTTGGTGCAGGTTTTCTCTCTTCCTGGGTCTCAGTTCCTTTTTGTTGTTGTTGTTATTTTATTTTGTTTTTATTGTTTTTTTTAAGTTATACATCATTGTAGGATTCATTTTGATATACTCATAAAAGCACTAATCAGTTCTTCATTCATAAAGCCAAAGAGAAGTAATGGAATATCTCTGAGATTTATTTTAACTGTAAAATCCTGGAACTCTGATTCATTGTGATTTATCAGTGCCTGTTTTCTCTTTGCAGAGGCTGTGAGCCACAAGAGCTATCAGGTATGTGCTTCTTTCTCACACAAGTCCTTTCTTATCACAGGTCTTATACAAGGGTGACCCTAGATGGGGAAGCACTGTGGCTGCTCCCCCTGATCTTCTGAGCTCACATGGCCGGCCTGGTGAGAAGTTGGGATGATAGTCTGGCCCAGGACACATGGTTTTCAACAGTATCACCACTGGTATAGATGCACATTCCTCAACAGAGGGAAAAGACTTGAAAATCACTTCCTGTTTTCTCCAAAGGGCCAGATAACACATTTACATGCAAGGATTTTACACTCAAAGCCTCTTTAATCGCAGTGTAGTCTATAAAAGGATGAGGCAAGTGGCATTTATTTTTCAAATCAGGATAATTTTGAGAGTGGAAATTGTACTTAGCATAGTTATAGCAAGAAGGTCATCATAAACTGGGACCTTCTCTGGTAACCTAGAGGACATGGTCACTCTAGATCTTACTACCATGTGCATAAAAGTCAAAAATCAATGCTTGGTAAATACACATTCCTGATCCCCACACATAGGTTTTAGACATGGACTGAATGGGATCTCTAAGGAAGGAAGACTCCTAAATCTGCATTTCAAAAAGTTCCCTGACATTTTTTATATACATGAGAATTTGGGAATCACAGATCTAAATTTCTCTTAACAGATTTGAAAACAAAGTACATAGTTTCCAGATTCATACATATTGAAACCCCTCATAAAGCTTGCAGTTAATAATAGACAAAGAGGGTAATGAGGAGACTATGTTAATAAAAGTATAGTTTATATTTTTAAATTATATATGCCTATATATATATATATATTAAAAACATACTTCATGAAGAAATGTAGTTTATTTTTGAAAAAATGGACTTTGAAAAAAAGAATATTCAGTTCTTATTCTAGCCCTGTTACTTAGTTAGTGTTTGATTTTTTAAGAACTTATTTTACCTTTCTCCTCCATTTCTTTATCAAGAAAACTCAGCATTTAATTCATAATAAGCATATGAGCTAATGTACGGAAAGCCTATGGAGGAATGTTTAGTTTACAATAAATGTTAAAGAAAAGTAAATTATTATTAAACTGTAAATTTAATGGTTTCATCTAAATGGCCAAGTTATATTTATTTTGTTTTTCTAATTGAATGTCAAATGTTTTCAATATGTACAGGAAGAAAAACAAATCTAATACTTTTTAAAAGATTAATTCATTCAATAAATGCTCTCTACAGTTTCACAGTGGCACTAGAGAACATTTTTTCCTAACACTTTATCTGTACATGAAGCTCTTACTTGTAAATTATAGATTTTTTCCTCTTATAAAGATAATATCCAAATTATTTTGCCTAGCCCATCTGTTATCAATCTCCTTGTTCAAACTCATTCATTTGCTATTCAATGATGACCTGAAGTTTAAACCACACTGCTAATATTGCTCATTCTGGAAGATATTTACCAACATTGTCTGCACCTCCATGGAAAAATGTGCTATTTTCTCACTTAGAAGGAACTTTTTAAACCTCTTTTCATGTGTCCTGCACCTATGGAAATGACCTAAGAAAAAAATAACTTCTATTTTGTAGTTGTCTCCAGCAATGAAAGATTGCTTTGCCATTTGTATGTCTATTAAAGTATTAATATTTTAAATTTAACATTTATCACTTTTGTTACACTTCATTGGTATTCTCTCTTAAAATGTGAGCTATTTAAAGTCAGAATTTTCTTTCATTTTTTAACCCTCATGCTTTTTAATCATAGTACTAACTCAATAAATACATTGCTGGATTGATGCATAGATGAATTTAAGGATGAATAAAGAATAAGTAAATGTTAGAGTATTCAAGAAAACTATCAGATGGGAAATGCAATATCACTTCCATTTTCTGAAAATTAGCCTGCTATAAAAATTTTGGTATGTGTCTTTTTTTTATCTGCACAGGTACTACAAACATTGTTTAAAATATGTTGATAAAGAAATCTAAAATTGGCTGATGTTTTTAGCTTTATTTAAAAAAAAACTTGCCTTTGAGTCTTTTCTTTGAAGTAATTTGACTTATAAAAAAGGGGTAAAAATAGTTCAAACAATAGCATATATCCTTTACTCAGCTTCCTTAACTTTATATATAACCTTAATACAACACCAACATTAGGGAATTTATACTGATATGTAACAATTCACTTATTTATCATCTTGTTCAAATTCCCCCAAAGATCTAATTTAAGATAACATATGGTTATTTTTGTCTTTTCCAGATCCTTTCTTCTTTTTAAGGCAACAGCTACTTCCTTGAGGAAAAATTTAGCTGTAGGATTTCAGTCAGAGCATTGATTATACTGCCTTAGAAATTCAAAGTAGTGGCACTCAGTGGATACTCAGCAGTTTGCTGAGTAAATAGTGAATAAATTAACCTTATTTATTTATGGTTATTTTTATACAATAAAAATAAAGAGTGTTCTAAACAAAAAGGAGCAGATAAATATTTGGAAATTAAGTGATGTTTAAAAAGAGAGAATACAAACTACTATGTATATATATAAAAAATTTATATATTTATATATATTTTAAATTCAACATTTTTCACTTTTTGTTACCCTTCATTGATATTCTCTTAAAATGTGATATATATATATATATATATATATATATAAATTTCTAGTAAATTAAATCTTCACCTCACCAAATGTAAACTTTTGATTCAAAAGCTATATGAAGCAGTCATCTCCACCAAATTAATGTATAAAAAGAAACGAGAAGAATATAATAATAATTTATAAGTAAAATGAATCATGTTACATTTTTATGATGGGATATTATACCACAAAGCCTTGTCTTTAGAATATGAAAAATAGAAAAGAAAAAGAAAGTGATAAAGAATAAATAAAAATATAGTGTAGTTCTATTTTTAATCTTATACATATGGCAATATAATACATAGAGAAGAGGTAGATGGGAGGAAAAATAACAAAATGCTAACAAAAGGTATCTCTAGGTGCTAGAACTGCAGGATAGGTTTACATTTGGTCTTCGGCTCTTTGAAGGATTTCTAAGCACATAAGTCTAATATTTTTAAAAATTCTTAAAGAGAGCAAATGATGTCAATGCCATTTTCATGAAATAAAGACATTTAAATTACAGGCTTTGTGCAGCAACTATGAGAAGAAACCAGCTACAGATGGAAAATCCTGCCCAAAGACAGACAAACCAGTGTGTGGCACTGATGGGAAAACTTACCCAAATCTCTGTGAATTCTGCAAAGCAGCTATGTAAGCACATGAAGGCCCCCTTTAGGTTGGGTAAATGGGATATGAGTCAGGGAAACTATTAAGATGTTACTATTCAATGTATGTTACAGATAACTCTCATATAAAACAATATTATTATCCCCCCACTTGAGGCTTAGGAAGTGTAAATGCCCTTTCTCAGTTCACCTGGTCTGGATTTGTGCCTTTCTGTACTCCATTTCATCTCTGAATAACTTCTTTTTTCTTTCAGAGAAAGAAATGGAAAACTTGGTTTCAAACATGAAGGGAAGTGTTGATTCCTTCGACGTTACGATAATGGAAGTGTCTTTAGTTTGCTTTTACTTTAGAAAATGTCTTCTTTGTTCCCCAGTCACCATTGCAATGTATTTCCTATCAGTTATTATGCACAAAAGGAAGTAGTTTCAATAAAGTGATCCTGGCAAAATTTCTACAGTGATGTTCTTTTCAAGTAATAATGGAGGAGACTTTGTTTAATTGAATTAGAATAATTGCTATACCACCTCAGGATAAAAGGATACAGTTTGCAAACAGAGACTAGAATATTACCACACTTATCAAATCAATAATTCTCCAATCAGTGTTCAGTTCTTCAGAAGTTATGCAGATGAACTTCATGGAAAATAAAGCTGGATCCAAGGAATTAAATGTGCATAATTGGACACAAATTAGCAGTCTTTAGTACATACTATATTTGGGAAGTATTTTTCCATAAAAACATATTTAGTTTTAGAGCCTTAATTTACATGCTGAGTCCAGAAATAAATAACAGGTGGAAAAAAATGTTGGTGACTTCAGTCATTGAGCAGCTAAACAGGTTCTGAGGCAGCTGACTTTACTGGTCTCTGACTTCATCGGTTAAATACAGCATACCACAGAAAACAGAATTTCTACATTTGGGAGATGTGAAAAAGCTTGAAAGTGAAGATCCATTACTATGTTATAGATTCTTAGAAATCTAGAGATGGATGGACACAATCAGTACTTTCAGTTACTTTTCAGTAAGAGAAAGTATTCCAACTAAATAAAACGTGGTTTGAGCCAGGCACGGTGGCATACGCCTGTAATCCCAGTCACCTGGGAGGCTGAGACAGGAGAACTGTGAGTTCAAAGCCAGCCTCAGCAATGACAAGGCACTAAGCAACTCAGTGAGATACTGTCTCTAAATAAAATACAAAGTAGGGCTGAGGATATGGCTCAGTGGCCAAGTGCCCCTGAGTTCAGTTCCCAATACCACCCCCCCAAAAAAAAAAAAAAAAAAAAACATAGCTTGATATGGATCTGCTTTAAAAAAGCCCAAAGAATTATTTATTTCATTAATTAATTCTACAAATAATTATTCAGTGTCTATAACATACCGGATATCAATCCATGTATAAATCAAAGATCCTAAAAAAGAATTGTGTGCTTTACTATGTAGATAAGAATGAATATTTTAAAAATGTATTTTCAGTTATTAACAAATCTGTAAAGGAAACAAATCAGATCATATGTTGGAGAGAACTGGGGTACAGGTTGAAAAGAGTGTTTATTCAACACTGGTTTTTTGAAATGTGTCCTGAAAAGGATGAAAAGAATTCAGACACATATAAATATGGTGGAAGGGTATTTCAATCAGAGAATATAGCATGTATGAAAGAATAAAAATAAATTTAAAAATAAGGTTGCCTTCATGAAGTGAATGAGAAGAGCCACTTCATCACATTGAGGGCCAGATAAAATCACTCTGAGTTATAGGAAACTACTGAAGTTCATTAAGAAACAACTTCATAGAAGGACTGACATTTTAGTAAACTTCTGACATAGAGAAATTTGCTGTATATAATAAGGGGTAGCATTGTAGGCAAAAAGAAAAAAGACAATTTGAGAACTATTTAAAATAATAGTTCTAACTCTCACATTGAGTATGTAGAAAAAAATAAAATCAGAATTCAGACAGGGTACTTCAATATTACATAACCAAACATACCGCTTCTAAAGCAAAGGACTTTATCAAATGGATGTGACTTAGGAAAGTTTCCTTAACTCACAAATGGTTATCTTGCTTCTTTTTGATTTTTTCAGTTAAATGACAACTTTTAAAAATCATAAATTTCACATTTCAAAATTATCAATGTCACTTAAAAATGATAGAAAAATTTAAAATTCACATATAAATTCTTGAGAAAGGAGAAGATCTGGTTATGTGATACCCATGTCTCTCACTGAGCAATCATTTGTTAATTTTTGACATCTTTAGATGGACTGTTTCTACAATGCCTCAGGTCAGCCTCACTGTTTAGCTTTAGCTCCTGGTTCCTGAGGGTAAATAAGGTCTATATCCCTTCTTTAAGGCATACCAATTGTAAGCAGCTTGTTGAATATTTTTGATTTTGGAAAATTGATATTCTGATGATGCAGCTCACAGCATCAATAGAGAACCATTTCTTCATAGCAAATCCATGTTTGCTTCTTTATCACTTCCACAAAGTGGCAATACTTCTGGAAGCACATACACAAAATGACCTCTTAACACTTTTTTATAACATAAGCATATACAAACACACACACACACACACACACACACACACACATAATGCACTATCCAATTTTCATTTTGCTTTGCACAGTCTTTGTAATATCTTCTAGATTTTTCTTCTCTTGATTATCCTCAGCTGCCTCAGAAAGCTTCCTTCCTTCCCTCCCTCTTTTTCTTTTCTTCCTTCCTTCTTTTTTCTTTCTTTTCTCACCTTCATAAACATTTTTTAAATATTTGAATTATACATAATAATGATAAATATTTGTGAGTACAGTGTGATACTTAATACATATATACAGTGTATACTGGAAGTCAGAGTTATTAACACATCCATTTCCTCATCATTATTCATTTCTGGAGTATTTCAGGTCCTCTCTTCCATTTATTAATAATAGTTTATTATGAACTATAGCCACTCCACTGTGCTGTGGAGTACTAGAAATCCCTTGTTTTGATCATTTCAGTGAACATTAGTGATAAATTAAAGATCAAAATAAAAAAGTAATCATTAACACTCACTAAGTGTTGACTGTGTCCATATTAATCATTTTGCATATGGATTCCCAGTTGTTTCAGCATCAGTATCATTTCTTCAAACGGCTGTCTTTTTGTATTTCCATTGTATTTCCATGCTCCTTTTGTCAAAATTAGTTGACTATATATGAGTCTGTTTCTAAGTTCTCAATTCTGTTCCATTGATCTGTCCATTCTTTAGTCAGTGTCACTCTGACTTGATTACTGTAATTCTATAGGAAGTTTTGCAGTTGTGTAATGTTGGTTTTCTGCCTATCCTTTTCTTGACCCTAGGTATTTTAAAAATGTGATGTGATTCATGGTCTTTCTCTTGGGAAAATACTGACATACATACACATAAAATTTTGTTTCTCACACTATGGAATGGTTGACCTCTCATTTAAAATCACTGTTATAAAATGGTTGATTTTTTCTGTATCCTTCCTGAGCCAGACTTTTGTTTGGCTTCTGAGATGCAGGCTGTTGACCCATCTCTTTCTCGTTGCCAATTAGAAGTTAATGTTAAAATTAGAAATTAATTGGAAATCTTGTCCATGTGACTAGACCTAGATCTTTTTCCAGCCTGGACCTGAATAGTAGTTCTTCACTGCTAAAGATTTACTGACCTCCAACTGAAGGGCTCATAAGATGATCTGTGCACTAAATGCTTGTTTCCAAGTCTCTGTTTCTAGTAACGGTATTCCCACTTTTCCAGATAACCAAGGATGGACTTAGGTATCCTTACTAGAGTTAACTGTGAATGTAGAGATTCATGACTGTGCTTGAATGTCTTTATCAAATATTTAGGGAACGTATTGTTTTAAGTATTAAGTGAGATAATCCATATAAAATGTCTCAATAAGTAGTAGTTAGTACATTTATCATAGGGGTCTTAATTCAATTTAGAGAAGTAATCATTGTCTTGACAACAATATTATAATGATTATCTAGTGTAGAATAATAATTCACCACCAACTTAGTGGCTGAAATCAACAGTTGCACATTTATTTTCCTCCATTTCTGCAAATTTTGCAAGCGTTGTTCTGTTAGGGTAAGGTCAAAAAGGTACTGTCTACATGTTCAGTTGGGATTCAAGATGGTTGAAGTAATGTGCCTTGCATTTCACTCCCCTAGTGGGATGGCTACTTTGTGTTCTAGTCCCCCACCCCCTTCTCTTTCAATAACCTATCATCCAACACTAACAGGCCTCTTAAGGCTTAGACCAAATACTGATATATTGTCATATCTATTGCATCCTATTATCACTGGCTCAAATTTGAAGAAGGGGGAATTGACTCTTCTGTAGGAGAGGAGGTATAGCATATGTGAGGACTGGTTGGTGCTGATCTTTGAAATAATATTCTAAAAATACACTCTTCTTTCAAAGTATAATTATAAGTCTAATTATGAGAAGCTATTATATGAAAGGAACTTGGAAGCAAGGCTTAAGAAACAAGTCACAAATGACTTGGTCTTGAATGGCTAAAAATAATATCAACATGGGATCTGTCTATAAACATATTTTCTCTTAAGTGTGACAAAAAAGTTAAAATGAAAGCCAATGTTATTCTTAATGTTGATGGTAATGGGGACTTAATTTGAGAGTGTAAAAGAGATTATATTTGTCCCTAGGATTTGTAAACTTGTACAACCAAAGATTTCCATATGATGAAAGTCTTAGTAATAAGTTAATAAATGCTCATTATAACCACCTTACTTCATAACTATTATAATTATGCCCGATTTTATATTTATTGTTCTCTGGTTACCTCATGTGGGTTCAACTAAAGTGAAGGGGGTAGGGAGTGTGTTCTTAACTTCCTCAAAGGATGACATGAATAGAATGGCAATAATTAACATTAAAGGAACATGTGTGTGTCAGATATACGTGTCACCTTGATAAATGATGATGATATTTGAATTTCATTTTGCATTGCAAGTTTGTGAACTGAATGAAGAACTTGAAGCCAACACAGAGAAGTTATTCAGGATCATTTCTCAATCACCTGCCTCCCTGGGGGACTCATTATTCTGAAACTGACACCTTCCCGGGGAGGAGGAGAAGACTGTATGAAATCTTCAAATCCTTGAGTAAACCAAGGGAAGGCCTGAAGTTACGCAGGGGTTACTTAGTGGGTGGCCTTTGGCTTCTTGCCTAATATTACAAAGTATTTAATGAGATTTGGTAACCAGGTGACAAGTCTGCCTCTGACCATTTTTGCAGCAAGATGCTGAATTTACAAGGCATTGCGTCTCCCATGAAATAAGAATTATATTTCAAAAATCAGACTGAACACTCAATTTGTCTTGTTGGACCCAGTTAAGCATACTAGTGCCCATGTCCGAAAAGCCTAACGAATGCTGAGGTGCTGATGCTTTCTCCCTTTCACTATGTTCAAACTCTAGACTGCTCCTGAGGTCCAAGAAAACAGAGCTTTGCTCCCATTGGGGGGAGAATGAAAATGAAACAGAGTAGCTAATGTATGCAGCAGGAGAAAGCTATTATAGAATATCATTCCCTGCTCTTTAGATATCTGACAAATGGCTTGAGATTAAATTAGGTTACCTGCAATAGGGTAATCTAAGACCCTGCAAGGTCACCAAACGGCAAGTAAAAAGGCTTTCCCTCCAAACTCCAAACCACAGCAAAACACCTCGTGAAGTTTGACTCCTTCAATGAGCAGTGGGGTATTATAATGGGGATTTTAGAAATAGGAAAAAGATAGGGAAACTTGAATAAATAAGACCACATAGCTAAAGGTGATAGAGACAGACATTCAACTCCTTTCCTATTGTTATTTCTACCCAAGTATAATGACCATGAAGATGCTAAAAGAACAGCCTTAGTTTAGAATCCCTTGCAACATGCAAAAAACACATTTTCTCCTTCTCAAATGTGGAGATGTGGTGAGCATTTTCTGAGGCTATTCAAACTCTTCATTTTCTTCCTAAATGTGAAGGAAGGTTAAAAATGTAAGATGAGTCTAAAATTGAGAAAATTACTACGATTGGAAGAGAAATAAATATTGTAATTAAGTTAATCCACTGAGGCCATCTCTGAGACCTCTGAGCATGAGTTTCATGAGACTTTAGCTTCCACTGAAGAGTTCCCAACCTACAGAGCACTCGATTACAGGTGCTATTTTGAAGTGTCCGTAGCTTTGGTGTTAGGAAAAACCATGGAATAGGACACACAATTGCACTGAGTATTTAAAGCAAACCACAGATGAAGTTACAATGGTCCATTCATTATTTGAAAAGTTACTGGATTGGGTTCCATAAATGAGTATCTGGATGTGAAAATAATGTCTATGAAATTTACACTTTTTGACAGATATTTAATAGAGTAAATATAGCAAAATAGTACTTAATGAATCTTGGTGGAGTGTATTTGGGGTTTCACTGTACAGTTCTTTCAACTTACCTACATTCTCAAACTGTTCACAATGAAATATTTGGGGGAAATTCCTACATAATCCAAGGTGTTTTGGTTCCCTAATGACACTTGTATGAATCTCTATCCATCTAGAGGACAATTATGCTGGGATGGAGGGGAATGGACATTGGCTTCTTACTCTACAAAACTCTTTAAATTTGTCTCTTGGTGTCAGAAAATTGCTGACTCAATTAAAAGAAATAATTTTCAAAATCGTCCTTCTTTTTGTGGGGAGGGGAGGGAGTGTATTGGGATTAAACTCAGAGGCACTGAACCACTGAGCCACATTCCCAGTTCTATTTTGTATTTTATTTAGAGACAGAGTCTCACTGAGTTGCTTAGCATCTCACTTTTGCTGAGGCTGGCTTGGAACACTCAACTCTCTTGTCTCAGCCTCCTGAGCTGCTGGGATTACAGACATGCACCACCACGCCAAAACAGTTTGAGAATGTAGGTAAGTTGAAAGGGCCCAAATTGCCCTTCTTCTAAATAAGCTGAAGAGAAAATCAAACATAATTCCAAACAACTAAGTCTGAGGATTTTAGAATGAAAAGTGTTTGCAAGAACCATCTAGATCACCTCCCTTCCCCAAACTGAAATTTTCTTTAGAACTCCAAAATGCTTTATTTGTTCTTCTTTATATGTCATCTAAAACCATACAGATAAAATACCTTTCTCTTCATATGAATATCTTGCAATGAGGAAGCCAATGAACATGCCATTACCACTCCTATGTCTGTTCTTTTCTAGCTTTTATTTCCTCTTGCTGTGAACTTACTTGATACTATGTGAGTTCCAACCTCACATTATCAAGGTCATCTTCTTTTGGACATGTTCCAATTAATTCAAAATTTCCTTATATAGGGCTGCCATCCTTGAACACAATACTCCAGTGTCTTATAATGTTGAGTTTATGATCAAGTAAAAATTACAAGGTGATTTGCACATGAGCTTCTATTTGGTGTAATAGCTTGAGAAGAGAAGGTCAATGGTGTAATGTTATTCTTTTAACATGAGCTCTATTGTCTCTCACTACCTCATAAAAATACATTACCCATCATCATTCCCTAATGGATGCATTCTTTGCCTACTAATGACCAATACTCAATGCCTTTTTACTTGCTTTTAATATATAATTTCAGGAAAAATAATTGGTATATGACTTATTTGAGGGAAAATACCTTGAGGGGTCTCTATTATGGACATACAGTAACAGCTGAAGATAAACGACCCTTAACAATAAAAAGAAGAAAGCTGAGTTTACCACTTTCCCAGACCGAATTCACCATTTTTATTTTATTTTTTTCTGGGAGAAGATATCTGATAGACGCATATTAAAGTTTGGATGTTTATGGGAGTTGGGGCGTGAAGCTAATTTTTTAAAATGGCAATTCCCTCAAGAATCAACACCTTCCAGTTTGTGAAAGTTACACTGTAATTTTTAAAGACAGTGACCTTATTTAACAATTAGGGTGGAGAATTTTCTAAATATATAACATGGTGGCGATCAACCTGGTTTATTCGGAAAGAATCTGCTGAGGAGTTACGTTGAAATCTGCCCAACCACTACATCTGGAAGGACTGACTCCACCATGCAGGCTTTCGTTTTCCTTCCCTTCATGTTCCTGGCTGTGTTCTCAGGTAAGAAAGGCATAGTCAGTGACTTTCCTTACAGCTTCAAAAGTCAACAAGCAGAAAAGGGGAGTGATTTAGTGATGCTTTGTTGGAAGATTTAAAATCAGGAAATCTCCATCAGAGAAATAGAAGAAGGCATTGCAGAAAAAATAAATACAGATCCAGAGGCATAAAATAGTCTCAGGGTATAATGACACTGAATAGTTTGCTGGGGTTGAAGAGAAGCAAGAACAAAGGAACGGGAAAGGCAAATTCAGTCTAAAAGATTATCCAGCTAATGTTCCAGAAAAGAATGGTTTTGTGTTACGTGTTATGATCTTGGGCTATGAAATCAAATAAAAGCATGTCTAGATCCTAGATCCTGATCTTTTCTTTTATGGTATTTAGGAAAACTTTTTAATATATTTGAATCTGTTTTCTTATTCATAAATAGGAATAATTATACTTTCCCTGTCTTATAAGAGTTATGTGGATGATAGCAGTAGTCACCAGTTCTTCTTAGGTCTTCGACCTACAATATACAGTCTTCTCTTTAATTCCTTTTCTCCATAAAGATAAAGTTGTTTTCAAAGACATAAATTCTAGATCAGAGATGTAAATTTCTCAATGATAATAATTGACACAGTTAATACATTTCTTAATAATAAATTCTAATGATTAAAACAGATTTCCAGGGCTGTGGATAAAGCTCAGAGTATGTGTTTAGCATGTGTGAGACCCTGGGTTCAATCCCCAGCCCCAAAGTTCCCCATAAAAAAAACAAAAACAAAAGAACAAATTTTAATTTATCTCCAAAGTATGACCTCCTCCTTGACCATATTAAACATAGTGAAAGAAAGTAAACAAAAGTAGGACCCATGACCTTCAACTTTTTCTACTTGTAATGTATGAAGTAGTGGTTCTTGTCTCATCCGAGGCACTGCAGAGTTGCTTCCTGTTGCTGAGCACAGGAGTGACTGCATCTGTTCTGCTAAAAATACTGGTATGGGGCCAATATTAAACATCGTGAGAAAAGTTATACATGGATACCACCGGGAGCCTGCTAAAGCAATAGACTTGAGAAATAAGAACAGAAAATTAAGGGATAGAGTAAGAGAAGGGAGGAGTGTGAATATGTGTGATTTCAAGACAAGTAAAACTCCCTCACTAGGACATGTTCCTTGGTGGCAGGTATTGTATCTGCTGTGTTCTCTCGGTGCCTTGGGAGAGGACAGTGAGCGCTCAGCAGGCCCTTGCTGATGGGAGAAAGTGTGTTGATGGTGTGTAGAGGTTATATGGATTTGGAAAGTGGAGAAGAGAAATGTATGAGGAAAGCAGTGCCAAGCACACACTGGAGTTTGTAAAATAAGAAAAGGAAATGTAAAACAAAAAAGCTGAAGATAATTATTTTCCAAATTTTTAACTGAAAAATAGGAGATCAAACTATAATTTGGTATCTTAATTACCTTTTTTAACCCTCAAAATTTCATCTCTTGGTTTCATCCTTAAATTCATTATTTTTTCACATAAAAACGAAGCATTAATAGGATTTTCATTGATTGATTTTTTTAATAATAGCAAAATAAAAAAATAAACTAGGTTCTCATTGCTAGAAGACTGATTAAATAAATTATGGTTAACCCATAGTTATGGGGTATTTGTGCAGCCAGGAAGTGAAAATAATAAAAAAGGTGCACTGTATGTGCTGTTTTATTATTAAAAAATAATATATAGAGAAAGCTTCACTCTATTGTGGAGAAAGCAAGGAGTAGAACAGGGGTAGGATGGGCTGCCAATCATGTGAGAAAACTCATTCATATGTGTTTGTAGATTCATAGGCTATCTCTGGTGTAACTCACAAAAATCTGGTAAATGTGATTGTGTCCTAGGCAGAAAATATGAGTTGTTTGGGACAGAGAAGGAAGGGAAACTTATTTTAAAACTGACTTTTGTATCTTCAAGAATTGGTTCAATTTGTTTATGCTATCTATTCAAAAATTTAAAATAAATTATAAAAATTTATCTACAAACACATTTTTTTCCATGTCATCTTCTCTCTACTTGATTTCTACTGGATGTTACTGATTGTTAATAAACAATGTTTGATTCCTAGAACTCAAAGAGCCCATACATATACTCATGTGTTTGCCAAAATTATTATATTCTTATCCATATTTCTGGTTGTATTCTACATATAATGCTTGTCACCTCCTTTAGAAAGGAGAAAGGATGGCATATTTTCTGATATCCTGTTTGGAGGATCTGTTTTCTATTCACTTCACACATTATGGCATTGATTATACTGCTATAAATTCCGATTATTTACATGCCTATATGCACTCCCAGACTTCTCAGCATCATGAAGTCAGGACCATAAATGTCTTGCTCAGTGTTATATCTGTCTCTAACTTTAGCTCTGCAATAATAATGGAGCCTTTAAATATGTACTTTTTGTTGAGTTGGGTGAATGACTCAATCACCCCCCTTCCACAGGGTAGCAGGACATGCCACTAACTGTTAGACCTCTGTGCCCAGACAGGACCTTAACTACCTGCAGTGGTATACCAGACCTTGTTCAGCATTCAACAACTGAGGATGCCTTTGATTTTACTTAAATTGATTTGAAGTGTGTTCACTCATGGAAATATAAAGTAGAGAAATTGCAAATGAAAATGAGACCTCATGTATAAATTTGGAACCATCCACATTGAAATGATATAAAGTTATGTGAAGTAAGAACAAAAATACCAATAATGTCTGTGAAGAAAAAAAAATGTAACCCTTAATAAAATCTTTGAGGAAACCCCACATTAAGAAAGTGAGAGATGCTGTGTAATCCCGGTGATTCAGGAGGCTGAGGCAAGAGATGAGTTCAAAGCCAGCCTCAGCAAAAGTGAGGTACTAAACAACTCAGTGAGACCCTGCCTCTAAATAAAATACAAAATAGGGCTGGGGATGTGGCTCAGTGGTCAAATGCCCTTGATTTTAATTCCTGGTAACACCCCCCAGCCCAGAAAAAGAGAGTGAGAGAAAGGGAATTGCTTGTCAAACAATAAAGGAGAAGAGAGAAAGGAAACACTTGGACCAAACAAAAATATAAGAAGCAAAAGACCAAATGGAATGCTATTTTACTAACCACTGAAACCATTCCATTTGCTTCCTCATTGTTTTTAGACCCTGATTATTTTAGAAGATAATCTATATAAAGCTAAGAATAAATATGAATTTTTTCATTAGGTGATGAGTGGGCTTCCAAAATAAATTGGAGGAGGAGACACAATACATGAGTCATGAAACCTAGGTTTTAAAAAATAATCATGATATTCACCATTCTATTTAATTTGATGATGATAAAAAAGAAGAAGAGGAAGAAGAAGGGAGAAGGAGAACAAGACCATCAAAAAGAGTATAATTAATGCTAGGACATTTTATTGAAAATGGTTGAAATAAAACTGACTGAAAAAGAAAGTAAGTGCTGAAGGAGAAAGAAGACTTCTGATTTTGAGTCAAGGGAAAAGGAAGAAGATGGTTCCAGAAAGCATAGAACTGATACACAAAAGATGAACAGAGGGCTCATGTATGCAAAGGAAGAGGGCTTATGTGTGCCAAACTTTATTCCTGAAAATTGATGATAGAAGCATCTGTAAAATGAGGCTGGGAAACTGGGAATGCAATCTATGATGTGGAAGAAGTTTAAAAATACTCAGCAACCAGAATCTATCAGGAAACCATTAAAAGGAATTTGGGCCAGAACATAGGCCCAGTTCGAATAATTCAAGCTTTGACTTAGAAATGGGCAAACTGGTTAAATGTTGAGATTTGGGTAACCACATAATGTAATTGGAGTGAATGCTGTTGATTTTAAATATGTGGAGTTAAATAACATTATTTTTATTTTTATGCTTCCAGTATCTTCAAATCAGATTCCAAAATCAAGTGTTTCCAAACTAGAAGGGAATCAAGAACCTACACTTGTTCTAGAGGCAAACAATGGAGCTAATCCTCTAGGAAGACAAAAGAAATCTAATAAGCTAGAAGGTAGTCACACACAAGGAAAACCAGGGATGATGATTCTGCCAGGAAGACCAAGATATTCTAACCAGCCAGGGAACCCAGGGAATTTTGGTCAGCAAGGAAGGCCAGAAGTGCTGAATCAGCCTTGGATGTCTAAAACTTGGATTTTGCAAGAGAAGTCAGGAGAATCAAACCAAAAAGGGAATACAGATGCAGCTTATGACCAAGGAAAATCAGGATCTTCTAGCCAGCTAGGGCAACTGGACCCTTCTAACCAGCAAGGGCAGCCAGGGTCGTCCAGCCAGCAAGGGCAGCCAGGGTCATCCAGCCAGCAAGGGCAGCCAGGGTCTTCTAGCCAGCAAGGGCAGCCAGGGTCGCCCAGCCAGCAAGGGAAGCCAGGGTCATCCAGCCAGCAAGGGAAGCTAGGGTCTCCTAGCCAGCAAGGGAAGCTAGGGTCTCCTAGCCAGCGAGGGAAGCTAGGGTCTCCTAGCCAGCGAGGGAAGCTAGGGTCTTCAAGCCAGCAAGAGAAGCTGGAGTCTTCTGGCCAACAAAGGAAATCACGGTCTTTTTACATGCAAGAAGAAAGTAAAAATGTAGACCACCCTTTGAAGGGCAATGTAATGGAAATTCAGGTGAGTGTTGATATATATATATATATATATATATATATATATATATATATATCTTTTTTTTAAGTCAATTTACCTTAGTCATTCTATTTTCCAAGACTGGGAATGGCTAACTGAATAGATGACAAATAATTTACAATGACACTGATAAAACTAAATGAGAGAAACACTGGAGTTGATTGTTGCCATATAGCAAGGATGATCACACCCTTCATTCCACTTCTTACTCCCCTCCATCATTTTCCATTCCAACTCCTCTATCTAAACTGGTAACTCAGAATCCCATCAACTGAGCACACACCCTGCCAGGTTTCCTTTTTATATTCCATTACCATCTCATCCACAATCTGCAAATCACTGAAGTGATATTTTTCTTACTTGTTCTAATTAGTTACACATGGTAGTAGAATGCACTTTGACACATCATATATAAATGGAGTATAATTTCTCATTCTTCTGGTTGTACATAATGTAGAATCACTTCATTTGTTTAGTCATATATGTACATAGGGTAATAATGTCTGATTCATCCTGCTATCATTCTTACCCCTACAGCACCATCCCTCCCTGCACTACTCCCCTCTACCTAATCTGAAGTAACTCTGTTCTTACCTAACCCCCACCCCCAATGTAAATTACCTTCTGTGTATCAGAGAAAACATTCAGCCTTTGATTTGGGGAGATTGACTTATTTGTCTTAACCTGATATTCTCCAGCTCCATCTGTTTACTGGCAAATGCCATAATTTCATTATTCTTTAAGGCCAAGTAATATTCCATTGTATATACATGCCAGAATTTATTCATTCATCCGTTGAAGGGCATCTAGATTGGTTCTATAGTTTACCTATTGTGAGTTGAGCTAATGAAGGAAATCATTAAAATCAGTAATCTTTTAGTGGAAAAATCAAAGCTCTCTGCATGATCTGGATGGTATTTCAGCAACAGTAACATGAAATTAAGTTGGATGGCATACAGGGGCCCAGTCATTAGGAGCCTTAAATGCTACTTTTAGGAGTTGGAGTTTTATCTTCTGGGTAAGTATAGCACTACTAAAGAATTTTGAGCAGAGGATTGAAACAGCTGATCAGATTTTTAGTTTAGAAATATCACTTCACTACACTTACCCAGAGGATAAAACTCAAATTCCTAATTGTAGCATTTAAGGCTCTTCATGATTGGGTCCCTGTATGCTCTCTCTCTCTTCATTTCATGTCATTGTTGCTGAAATACCATCCAGATCATGCACAGATCTTTGATTTTCCACTAAAGGATTACTGATTCTAATGATTTCCTCCATCAAGAATTTACACTATTGGTTTGTAATCGATTCTCTACTTATTTAACTACATCATTAACACTTTGATAAAACTAGCATTTCTTTTCAAACTTGTATCCCCCAAAGCTAGGATGAGTGACACCTGTGATAGTTCCTCTTGATGTATGTGAGATGTCAATAAGTGCTTGAGGTGTGGGGACCATCTTTGCAAAAAGGCAAATATACATCTGATTAGCTTGTCTCTGACATCTCTTTCTGTGTCCTGATGTTTTTTCTTTCACCTCCAGTGTCTCGATAACTAATCAGAGTTCTGATTTTGTTTTAACCGTGAGTCTGAATATTCCATTTTATAGTCTTATCTAAAACAGTTTTCCAGAGCACTTCCTCCATTTCATCATCTTAGGGGAAATTGCTTTCTGTCTTAACCTTATACCTTGTCTATCCTCATCATCCTTTCTGAGGAAAGCTGCTCATGTGTCTCCTGTGCCAGTGTTCTTTTCCCAGAGGAATTCCAACCTTCCTGATAATGCCTCCACCAGAAAATCTCTGAGTATTTGGGATATAACATAAATTTTCACAACTTTATGTTGATTCCAAAATGGGAGAAACAACCATGTCTACTTTACAGACTTCACATGAATGAAAGGAATTGGCATTCAAAGGTTGTAAACTCTATACCAGTGGAGGATATTGAGATAGTTTTTTCTCTGTTTTACATCACTGCATTATAGTTATACAAAATAGCAGACTTATTCCATATTTGTACATGCACATAACATAATTTAGTTAATTTTATCCATGAGGAGGGAAAGAGAAGGCACTGAGGCTTTTTTCTTTTTTTATTTAATATCTTGGCTCTGAGCAGAATGAGTCCCCTGTTGAAATGTCCCGCCATTCCCAATACCATCTTTGTTTTCATCAGCTAGTCCAAGGTTCATGTTCAGATACTTCTAACATTTTATAGTTCACATCCAAAAAATGCCTTCTGGTATTATTTGAAGGAATTCTACATAATCATCCCAGGTTTATCATTTTTCTTTCTTTGGCACAGATAAAAGAAGGAGATTCATAAATTATGACCATATGTATTTTACATGCGCCAGTGTAACTTTTCCCTGACTGTTCTTTCTGCACATAGGGGAACACGTGTCTTCAAATAATTAAAGTTGAGGCCATCTGACATGAATGCATGTACGAATATGTCAACAGCAGACTTCTAGAGTAAATAACCCAGGGTTTTAATCATACTTGAACATATAAACCACTTAGAGTTTCAGGTTTGAACTTAAATGCACTTTGCCTCTATGCTTGTAGTTATAAAATGGGATAGAATATACTTTTCTTTTAAAACTATTGTATGACGTTGAATTTTAGTATATTCCTTTTGTCACCCAACTCCCTGGGAAGCAGTAGTCCTGCTGTTTGAATCCGAGCCATAGAACACCTGGAAATTGAACACTTCCTCTAGTCTTCCATCTCTCACCTCTTAAAGTAATTCTAAGTAAAATAAGGCAGACTCACATATTCCAGGAGTGAATGTGTAGAGCTAGGGGTAAAAAAAAGGAATAATAAAAGGAAATCTTTTAAATATAGAAAGGAGACCAGTAGAGTAGAAACAGGGGAGCAAAGGAGAAAGAGGAGGGAAGGAAAAGAAGAAGAACTGGGGAATTAAGAGAACCAAATTTTGCTATGTGCATGAATATCTATATCACAACTCACTCCAATTTTATATATAACTATAATACTCCAATTAAAAAATAAATGAATATATGCATATAAGGAAAACCAATAACGTAGAAGAATGGGATCAGGGGGATGGAGGAAGGGAGAGATTAAAATGCTGCAAATTATTTTATACCTATTTTTGCACGTGACAAAATAAACCACATTATGTATAAATTTAATGCATTAATATGAAAAACTATTCTGTGAATTAAATTTAAGGAATCAATAAAATGATTGGTAATGTATAATGCTTCATTAATAATAAATGAGCAATGGATAATTTTTCATAATAACATTATTTTTATGTAATTTCACATTATAGCCGGACAGCATGAACAGCAAAAACCCACCTAGAAATAAAAAATGTCAATCAATTTACAAACCTGTCTGTGGTTCTGATGGAAAAACCTATGGTAACCAGTGTGTATTTGACCAAGCAAAGAGGTAAGAGGGCTTTGTATTCTTTTGTGTCAGGAAATACTATTCCGATCCATAAGTAATGTGGATCAGAGAGTATTTTTCTCTATGTCTCTGTAGTTTTCTCAGTAGTGGCTTGGCTATTATTTGTCAAAAGGAACATAAAACAATACCTAATTCTTGAGCAATAAATTCAGTGAATCCCTGGAGAATTGTGGTTTATTCAGATATTAAAGTGGTGAATTTTGAGTTATTCATTTACCAAATATTTATTGAGCATCCGCCCTGTAGGGGGCAGTGATTTAAGAACTGAAGGTAAAATAATGATCGAAACATAGAAATTCCTGTTTTAATTTTTGCAGTTGAAAGGAAAGAAATAAAATATATTAGAGGATAAAGAGAATATGAAACTTTGGATTGTTAACTGTTGCCTACTAAATTATATTCCAATCTCAATAGTATTAAAGATTGGATTTGGTGAGTGATCTAAACCTTCAAGTGTTACATAATACCTACAGGAAATAAAATAATTTTAATACTGTTTTAAAATTATACAGAGGGTTAACATAGAGTTAGATGCTTGAGTTTTCAAAGGTTTTGAGTGTTGTTCTTTGAAAGGAAAAATAAATTAAGAATAATCCCTCTCTTGTTTTCAACAATTTCGGAATTTAGTAAATCCTTATTGCAGAAAGAAAAGTTGAAGTGTCCTCTGTAATGAGATAGTCACCAATTCTTTGTTGTTGTTGTTATTTTGGTACTTGGGATTGAACCCAGGGCCATTTTGCCACTGAGCTACACCTCAAGTCCTTTCCACTTCTTACTTTGAGACAGTGTCTCCCTGAATTATTGAGGCTGGCTTTGAACTTGCTATCCTCCTGCTTCATTCAGCCTCCTGAGTCACTGGGATTACACCCAGCTGTCTCACATTATTGTTAAAACCCCTGACCCAGAGGTGAAAGAAAATGATGCAAAGTACACTCAGAGTGAGCAACAAAAACCAGGCACGCTAGCACCGAGGCCTACTTGTTCCTAAGTGATTTTTAAAAATAATTGTTAAATAATCACAGTTTCTCTTTCCAGTGGTGCCATCTATGTGGTCCTTGACTTCTTTCATTTATTTTTTCAGGTCGAGTAATGGAAAACTGAATCTGAAACATGAGGGGAAATGTTAAGTGTTTGAGTGAACCAAATCACCTGGAACAAGTTTGACTTCAAAATCCATTTGCAATTCTGTTTTCCCTAGGAGTTCAACTGTGAAGTCAGCTCCAATCTTACAGATCTGATAGGTCTGCATTATTTTTTGAGTTTGTTCCACTGCAAATAAAGTCAGTTCCTAAGCAGCTTCTGATTTCTGGGATTTTTTGTTGTCTCTGATTTCCCAACATTATGAGTGTGTATGACCTCTCTACTCTTTAATCTTGTTGATCCAATCATTTGTCTTGAGAACAATAAAACAAAAATAAAAAATTTATTTTTATAATAAATCTTGAAACTAGATAGTGTAAGCTCTCCAAATTGGCTCTTTTTTTAAAATTTTGAATGGAAATTTTAGGCATTTTGCACTTCCATACAAATTTTAAAACAAGTTTATCAATTTCTACAAAATATTGCATAGATGGGTCACTATGAAGGAGAATTAGCATTATAATATCATATAATATGCTTTGAGTTCAAGTTATTCCTCAAAATTTATGTATATTTTGATTTTCTTTCATTAAATTTTTGTGGATTTTAGTTTACAGTAATTCACACAGTTTGTGAGAATTATTATTAGTTCATATTTCTTTTAGAATTAGTATGTTTAAAAGTATAACTTATTAGTGTTGGCTGTTAGTAGATATGAAACATTTATATTAGTATACTGATTTTGTGTCCCCAAAACTTGGTAGACTTACCTTACAATTTCTAAAATTATTTTCATGGAGCCAACTGGATTTTGTGTATATAGTCATAGTGTTTTGTAGTAGATCACAATTGCTTTCTGCATTCAATCTGGATGATTTCCTTTCCTTTTTTCTTGCCTGGTTACTGGATAGAGCTTTCATAAGAATTGTTACCTGCAGAGCTGGCTGAAAAAATGTTAGCTGCAGGGTGGGCTGAACACTTGACCCTCAACCCTCACCCATCTGGTTCCTTATCATTTGTTTGCCTCAAGGCTGAACACTCAACCCCACTCAAGGCTGAACACCCCACGTCTGTTGCAATGAAAGCCCACATCTGGTCCCTGCCCAGTCTGCTTGAGGGCAGAAGATGACACCCTTAGCAACTAATGTATGATCCAATCACTGTACACCAATAAGGCAGCTTGCAGAACCAGAGACCCCATTAGATTTTGGCTATAAAAAATCTCTCTTGTAGGGCCCTGCCTTCCCCTCTCCTCTTCCCTCTTCGTTCTCCTCCTCCTCTTCCTCCTCCTCCTCCTCCTCCTCCTCCTCCTCCTC